AGTTATTATAATTTCGCGTAAACTGCATTTGTTATTTAGGAAGTTAGGATTGTGAGATTATAGCTCGATGCATGCGCTCGCTGTGCTTGTTCAAACCGTGAAAAATAAATTTTATCACCTAAATAATTTCGAAATTATTTGACAATTTTTCACTTCATCAAAAAATTTATTTTTGTGTTTGTAATCAGCGATTCTCTGCACGGAAAGAGCGTTAAAAAAGTTAGAGATATTACGAAATGAGATATGCGCTACACCTGGTTTCCTTCCTAGGGAGTTGATACCATTCCGAATCAAACTCGTCCGATCACTCGGGAACGTATTTCCGGCGGAAATCAGAAATCGATCATCCAGCCGGTTGGTTTTTGCTGTTTTCACCGGCATCTGTTCGCGATTCGCGCGCGCGCGCGCGCGCGCTGATTGCGAGAATGAACGATGTCATTTCCCGGCCGCGGTTGCATTGTAATAATGCTGTGTACACGCCAAAAAGTAATTTTGTAATACGATCTGTCGACCGGTGACCGGTATAGCGCGTGTGCAGGGAAATTGCTATCGGCCGGAAGTACATCTGACGTTTGGCACCGTTACGACTGTTATTTAATGCGCTGCACGGAATTTCGCGTCAACTGTGCGCGCGGCCTGCGTGTGATAAATATAATTAACGCGCGTATTCGCGAGGCCCACTTGTATAACCGCCATGCGAAAACTCGTCGCGTTACAATTATAATTCGCCACATTCGGCCGTTAACCCCGTGATGAATAGTGTAAACAGTGTGTCGCAGAAGTACCGCAAAAACCGCGAATAGAGGCTAGACTGAGAAGAATGCCGTTAGTACTTCAAACGTCATTAAAGTACTTTTTGAATTAATAATATAATATTTAAAAATTATTACAGAATTAGAATTTTTTTAATTTTAAAGAGACTTTAATTCAAGTTGACGTAGAATTTGACGAGATTAAATATAGGTGAAGTCATTGTTATTGTTGCGAGCGCATTTGATGCATCGCGCGCGTTGCCCGTCAATCCAAAAGTCATTTTCCTCCCAGCGCGTAGTTTATATTTAATATTCGCCGGAGGATAAATCTTCAAGAGGAAGTGGATGCGACGCGAGCAAGATCGGTCGCGCTAGTAAGCATAATGCATTGCCGGCTGGAGAAGTAAGTTGTAACGCGCCAGCCCATGCGCACGCAAAGTATGAAAATATGCGAGACTTATGAGACTTCGCAGTGTGTTTCAAAGTTTCTATTACGTCAATTCGGAGTTACAAGAAAAACTATTTTCAGCACGGTGAAAACTTTGCCCGCCTTCGTCTGCCGTAACAGCGAGTTACGTGTCCGATGCAAAGGGACAAATTTGTCACACGGCGTACAGATGACATCGATAAAAGTTAACACGCTTTTGTAAGACATGAGAATATATATTTGAGACCTATGTGAACCTGGAACCCGACTTTAAAAAAATGGATTTTTTCGATACGCATTCGATTACGTTTTGTTTGTACCCATTTGTACCACCTTTGATTTCGTTTGTACCCCAAAGGGTTGCAAGTTATAAAGGATTAAAAAAATCATCAGCACCCCACTTTGAGATATCGTAATTTTCTTTATGCAGTTTGATTCAGAATCGTTTGTACCCATTTGTACCACTTTTTATTTCGTTTGTACCCTTACGGGGGTGAAAGTTAGGTCTTACCCCTATTTTGAAAATTCGGTACTTTCACCCCCGTAAGGGTACAAACGAAATAAAAAGTGGTACAAACGGGTACAAACGATTCTGAATCAAGCTGCATAAAGAAAATTACGATATCTCAAAGTGGGGTGCTGATGATTTTTTTAATCCTTTATAACTTGCAACCCTTTGGGGTACAAACGAAATCAAAGGTGGTACAAATGGGTACAAACAAAACGTAATCGAATGCGTATCGAAAAAATCCATTTTTTTAAAGTCGGGTTCCAGGTTCACATAGGTATATTTGAGACGTTTATATTTATTGTAGAATGCGTAGCTTGAAGGCAAAAGATGTGGAGTTTATAATTGGATTGTGTTAATAATATCATAAAGTTAAGAAGATTATTCGCGCTACGTATCAATTTTATTTCAACGTGATAAAAGTATCATTCTTTCTCGTATTTTTTCACTTTCGACATTTAAAATAAAGAGCTCAGTTTTTAAAAGATTTCAGTTAGTTTTGAGCGAGTTTCTAGGATTCCTGGCGAAGTGCACATATCCCGAATTGCATGTGAGCTAAAAGATGGCAAACGGGAATGGCAGAATAAGGGCTTCTTCGTGATAACGTTACGAGTCATTACTTACGAAAGTAAGTTCGCGCACAATGCGTCGCAGCAGACGACGGCGATTCGAGCGAGATACCGTTGGTATTATGATTCTCCAGAGATACGAGTCGGACTCTAGAAACGGGGATGATGTTGGAAGATGGTGTAATTTCGCGACATCTGCTTCGAGAGTTTCCTGACTAAATAATTCGCCTGGTTTCCGATAATCGACGTCGTACGATTCGGATAGGCTACGATATACCTCACGAAAAACTGTAATCATGAGCGACATACATTAACCGCCGACCACATCTCCATTTTCTCCGAATTATGTCTGCAAAATGTACAGGGTGTCTTTGGTACACCGCATTTTCTTTCAACCGGAGGTCTTTTGGTGAATTTAATGCTAAAAATTTCTTAGTTTTTTATTCGTGTTTTGTAAAAAATTAAAAAATGTAAAATAAAATTTATTTTTATAAAAGATTTATAGAAAATTATTAAATATAATGTTAAATATTTGAATGTATAACATTTTTTTCAATAAGTTACGTTTAGAGCGTTAAACAATTAGCGAAGACAACTCTTTAAAATCCTTTGATAACTTATAATTCAAAGATTACCGATACTATAACAAAATAATACTACATATAATTAATTATAATTTTAAGAAAATGCACGATGCCTAGACACCAAGTATATTCACTCCCGTGAATCATATCCTCTCCCTTTCCTTCTAATCGGGCTGAAGATAAGGTCGTCGTTTTCCGCCGTCTATCGTCCATTACGGCGTGTCCCGATTGTAATGGTTCCTCGGGATACTCAGATCGCCGTAATTTGATCCCCGTTTCAAGATAAGGACCATATTAACTGCGCGATGGCGTAAGCCACTATTCCTTCTCCCGCGCGAACACTTTCCGTTGTAAGCACACGGTTGGACAAGGGGTGAGATGACGCAGTATTCGACCGCATCACCGATGTTATTAACATTCTGATTGCTCGCATAATGTCGCTCGGTGCTAATTACGCTTAACTAGATTTCCTTTCATTGATAGAATCTTTCCTATCTATATCGTAGTTAGGGTTGCAATCTGCGTGGAAAGTCAATTACTGGTCAAAGTTAGTTAATTCCTAACTATGTAAAATGGGATTATTGAACTGCATATACTATACACATTATTCCAAACGCAATAAAATAAAAAGTAGTACACTAATTTCACAAAAGTAATTTAGATGTATGTTGATCTTATATTTTTTTTCTACATCATTAAAATTTTCCTATTTTGTTTTATCTTAAAAATCTCCCTATCATATTTTATTTCTTTCTATCGTTTCTGCTTGCCTATCGTCGTATTGATTCTAAAATTTTATTATATGAAAATTTATGAATCGAAAATTAATTTAAGCAATTAGTTTTATCGAATCGACTCGCAGATGCGCAAGACAAGCAGTTACGCGTAAATACATCTGCTGCATCGTGGAGTGTCGGTGTAACACAAAACCGTGTTTAACGTCACGCGTTCAATATTGATGCGTCGCAGTACTCGGCGGCCGGCCGGCGTCCGGCGCACTCGCGGATAATTTGTAAATGCAAAAAGAAGTACGGCGCGGCCGGCGGAAATGCTTTCGGGGAGGTGGCCAGAAGGTGGATGCGTTTTATGCGACGTTAAATTTCGTGCGACAGCCCTACATACTTCCCCTTGTCTCAACCCCTCCATGCTCTTCTGGCCTCGGAAAAAAGTGCATTCTTTTGCTCGTTAGCTCGATGCACGATGAAAAAAATCCGCCCGGCGCCATCCGGCGATTTTTAGCCGATCAATGTAGTCGCACGAGCACGTTTCGTCGGCACGATGAATTAATGCCCCTTTCCCTTCACCGCTCTTTCCTCTCTCAGATTTTATTTGTGACACTCCTGAAGCGTCGCGGACGACCGCTGACAGGCGCGGTCCCAAATGGAAGGAACCTCGGGCGCGTCCAAAATTGATGGTTAATTCAAAACCACCGCGGGGGCTGCAACTGAATTTGACCGAAGCAAATAACGGGGCACGAACGGCGCAGAGGGTTGGGAGTGCGGCTATGGTACGCAGGTGTGGGGGAAGGGAATAGGATGCGCGTCGGGGTTGGACGCGGCGCGATGCACCAGGTTGATTCGCGGGCTGCAGCTGTAAACACGAATAATGGAGAGTACCGATCGGTAAATTGTGTGCTCGGCTTCGTCGAGGGTGGTTGCGCGAGCACGGCCATGCTATCCCTATCCGTGCGACGTTCGCTTTATCCATTGCCCTCGCAAACTTTTTTGCGCGCCACACTCCGCCCGCAATTGCGGCGCATCGCAGTGCATCTCGCGGCAATTACGCACGCGTGTTTGACCGGCCGATCGCGACGCGATATATACTTCGTCAAACACGCATCTACAGGATGTCCTAATACTGTCAATCTCAATTTTGATGATCGATCTGGTACCATTAATCAATTTGGAATTTTCAGCCGTGGAGTTGAATGGTCGAGAATTTTCAAATTAAGTGTGTATAAAAATAATTTGTTCCTTTCAATGAGGATTCAATTCTTGTCTTGAATTTTTCTTTTGTTTTTTTTTCTAATCATATATATTAATAAACAAAAAAAGGAATAAAAAAAAGCAATAAAAATAAAATAATTTTTCTACCTTGCAAAAATGAGAGATATGCACGATCAAGTATACACTTCACCGAAGTGTCCTCTTCTGCTTTCAGTTACCGCGAGAACGCTCAGAAGCTTTCGAAAGCTTACCGTGATCGACCTGCCACGCCGTTGGAGACGGCGGTATGGTGGACGGAATACATCGCCCGGGGCAATGGCAGCCCTTTTCTACGCAGTGAGGGCGCGGATATACCCTGGTACCAGCGTCATCTCATCGACGTCGCGCTCGTTTTGATTATCGTCTCCGCGGCGCTCATCTACATCATCTTCCGGTTGATCAAGCTGCTGCTGTCGTTGCTCCGCGCCGTCAAAGGAATGCTCGGGGCCAGAGAGAAGAGCAAGTGGAAAAAGATAGACTGATGGGAAAGGCTGCATCGCCACAGAGACGCAACGAAAAAGTGATTTCGAGAAAAGAGATGGCAAAGAACGAACACGGTTTTTCGCGCGAAAGTGTCACTCCAATTATGGGCAAGTTTTGAGCGATGAAGGGAAAACCGATGGACAAACATATTCATCATTATTACGCAAAATTCGCCTTTGTATAAAATTCATAAGTTTACATAATTGTAATTGTGTGTTATAATTTATTTGTGAATCACAAGAATGTCTTTAGCACAAATTAAGACAATTCTCGGTAATTATATAGTAAATATGTATGAAAGCAAATGAAAAGTGGATCTAATTACGCAAATATAATGAATAAATTAACTCACCAGTTGTTGTACCTCAGAGATAAGTACACTCTTTCACTTGCACCTGAAGAAATTAATATATATTTTAATTATTATAAATTATTATCGTACATTTTATGTATTGATTATTATGCATTATTTAATTACTTCAATTCTGATCAAAACGTAATCATATGCAATAAAATGGGCAAATAATAATTTTAAAATTACGACAAATATTTAATAAATGCTTTATCAAGTATTTTGATAAATATTTGTAAATATTTTAATAAATACAATTTGTTATTGTGTATGTATGTGTGACATCACAATGATGTACATAGATGACTAGGTATGTCTTTCTATATGAAGTTGCATTGCAATTTTAAACAACTCGGCATTCTTAGTCATTTTTGTAAATATATTTGAATAATAAACAAGTAAGTAATTGCACTTACTAGCTAAGATATTATAATTTGTTCTACCAGCTGTGGATTTCACCTTAGACCTCAGCTCTGAAGAGTGCAGACGATCCACACTAATTATCGTTATGAATGAAAGTCAAACCGCACATTTTTCTTACGTAGATCACAGATTTACGTCACGAATTTGCGTTCAATGCACAAATTATTAATGCACATTATATAATCTTATATACTTCGCAATCGATTCGAAACTGTACACATACTCAGAGCGAACGAGACAAATAACGCTTATTTTTGTCAATTTTACATTTGGCAAATTTCGTTAATTTTATATCTGACAAACACATCGTACCCGGTTTGATTCCGGAAAACTAGATTTTTAAAACTGCTATTTCTAAAAATACATATACCGCGGATTTATAGCATTAGAATCCGGATGTTTTAACCTACAATATGCAGCAATTGCCGAATCATCGTTAATTGCGAACATCCGCGGTAAATGGTTGTAGAAATCGCTCGTCACTTTAATCGGCACTCTCGATAAAATTCACATTTGTTACGTACTTACACGATTAATCACAGAGAGATCGCGTTATCTTGATAATCTCTATTACACGGCGTCGGTTAAAAACGCGGGAAAATAATAATATTTTACGCCCAAACAGAAGCACCCATAAACTACAATAGACTAGATAAACATTAGTATAAAAATTCTAGTTAATTGATGCTATGCATGCCATCTTTCGGTCGTCAAATTTTGATAAGTGCAGCAAGGTGATTGGTCATTACGGCTGGAATTAGCAATCCCGCCAAAATCATAGTATAACGCATTATACTAATGTTTATCTAGTCTATTGTAGTTTATGGGTGCTCCTGTTTGTGCGTAAAGTCAAACTCTCCGTAAATAATCGCGTAAATCTGTGAAAAATGCGTAACGATTGTGAATTTTTGTCGGGAGTGTCGATTAAAGTTACAGGCGATCGCCGGGACGTATTATTTTTATCACGGGATTAATGGGATTTCGTCGATTGTAGTTGATTTTATACGTATCCAAAATTCACCGAATGCGAACACCGATGCCACAAGCGTGCAAAAATAATGCCTATTTGCTCAACAATATCGAGCGCGGTGTATTTTTAGATATAGCATATTGAAAACTTAGCTCGGAATTAAATCAGTGATTGTATGTATATCCATACGTGATAATTTTTTGTGTACCGTCATAACGGTTATTTTTCGTCTCGCCATTACTGAGTGAACATAGTCCTGAGTTGACTTTCAAACGCGGCAATAATTATTTCAAATTATATATTAGATTTTGTTGCGACACAAAATGGAGTTTACTTCGCGTGTACGTTTCGTAGTGAATTCGCGATGCGATTCCGTTCGTGATTTTCGCGTTTTTTCAAAAGTAAAGTGCGTGGATTTTTATTCGGTAGTGCGCGTAATTAATAAGTACAGAGTTAGCTGTATTTGCGGATTCTTCGATGGAGTTAATGCTAAGAACTTTTAGGAGGAATCTGCAGTGGGTGAAGCAAACTAGAGTAACCTAGTTGGTGAGTATAATTATTTGTTCATTACATACATACTTGTGATAACACACATGTACAATCGTGTAATTTGTACTTATTAAATATTTAATTAACTAAAATATATATTATTTTCTCTAGGTTCACAGTTGAAAGCATACCCATATTAGCTAGAACTCATGTTATAATGGCTGGTGAGTAAAGTCCATTTGTTACACTTGGGTGTAATTACATTTACTATCTTTTCATACACCAATATTTACTACATAAAAGCTGAAAACCGCTTTTTGACAATCACAATCCTTGTCCGCAATTAGCATTTCTACGAATAAATAATTAGAATGCAAAATTCTTGTCTTCAATCTTAAAAATAAAGAATTTGAATTTTTGCAATTTTATTAATGGACTAAGTTTAATCATTTGATGTTTCTGCAAAATATAAAATTGCCAAAATACGGTTTTGAATGTACAGTTTGTTGATGTAACGAAAAAATGATCATTGATATATTTAGTTAGTATTGAATCTTTCGTTCATATTCTTTTTACATTGAAATATCGTCGCGAATAGGTTTTTATGTATGTGCAATAGTTTTAGGTAAAGTTAGACGAGAAGTGTTACAAGTCGTATATCGACTGGTTTTAGCTTAATTATTGTCGGTGATTTCTTGTCCAAGAAGTGCAGACCTTAAAACTGGCGTGAAGCAAAAGTCATTTAATTCCTGGATAGTTTTACAGTATTTTATGGTATCCAAGTATAACCGTTAACTAAAACTCGTCCGAACACCGTGCAGATGGTGTAAAACTTATAGTTGCCAGTTTTTTTTTACTTCCATTTTATGAAGGACGGCGGAACTATCCTTCATTTTCTGCCGACTTGTGTCGCATAAAGCGTTTGTTCCGGGTGCAGCCAAAGTTAAAGTTCATTACTTTTATCGCTGTGTAAAACATAACTAACGTAGACTCACATTTAATATCGAAATAAAATATATAAATTTTAGATAATTTATATTATAATTTACATTTCGGAAAACATTTAATATCAATTTACGTAATAAATTTCATAAATATATTACAACAATATGTACTGTTATGAATTAATTTTGCTACAATATTTGTTGCAATAAAAATTATCTGAATAACAAAAAGATAAATATTTGTAAACTAATTTACTTTGAGAGAAGGAAGAATTTATAATGTTATGAATTACAAGTTATATATTAGGGTCTTCTTTACTTTATTTTTTATTAACTTACAAAAGGGTTTAAGGACAGAGTTAGAAAAAGATATTAAAGGAAGGAGGCAAAAGAAAAATAAGAGTGAAGGAGAAAGCGAAAGGATATAACAGAACGCATGGAAGGAAAAAGGGCAAAGAGAGACTGAGAAGGAAACAGATATACTAGAAGATTGTGAAGAGAAAGGGAGAATAACAGGACGAAGGGAAAGGGGATGAAAATGCCGCGAGAGCATGGTAGAGAGACGTACGAGAGTGAGGCAGCTTTGCGGGCATTAAGGGGTATTTCCCAGGTGGCCGTGTCTCCCACTGCGTCAACCGGCTTCCGCCTCCCGGTTGCAGCGCAGCGGTAACGGCAAGCAAGAACCACGACGGGGGCCGTCGAGTTTACGGCAGTGGCAGTGGCGTCGTCGTTTGCTGCGTTCTCCTCGTACCACCTGGCTGCAGGCACAGCAACACCCGAGGCGCCGGTTCCAGCAAGATGCTTTTCACGTGTATAGGGAGACCAAAAAGTTCAAGATTTTCTCGGGGCTTCCGAAAATCGTTCGAAGTTATTGACAAATCTTTTAATTATCAATGTTTAAAATTCTTTTCGAGAGCTCAATATATTAATAAATTTATATTTCGCGAGTAAAATTTCGAGAATTCTGATTAACGTTTGGCTATCGTGATATTTAATCGTGGTATCTACTTTTGAAAAATTGTAGAAAAAATCAGCGTGTAAAGTGAATTTTTCATTGAAGCGAGATAAAATTTATATTAGTTAAAGAATCTCGTTACATAAATTTCACCCTGATCGTTTCACAAATGGTCACCCTGTATACTTAGATAACCGTGCGAGGAACGAAAATGGCAGTCACTCTCCGGGAGAACGGCTTCGACGACGACGCGACAAAGACGGATCGCGTGAGACATCGCGCCGGATTAAACGCGATTCACCTCGGTATACAGAGCGCAGATCTCTTTCGTCGCGCTCTACTGCCTCTGTCTCTCCACTTCCATGGATGCGGTTCTCTCTCTTTATCTACGAAAGCGACGGTATCTTCGTAAGGATACGCGCACGCCGAAGACGGTAAACACTGGTTTTCGGTGCTGCCGGATCTCACACGGCGATAAACGTGCAATTGAGTATATAATCCGACTATCGGAATATTTTGGGATTTTATATTTAAACGAGATTGCACTTTAATTTATGTATAATTGAACGTTAAGTTCAATGACATTTTAATTGTTAGCTTTCAATTAAGCTATCAGCTTGTGATAAAAAAAATAGAGTAAAGGAGACTCTTATACATAATTTACAATTCATAACATTACAAGTTTTTCCTTTTTTCAAAGTAAATTAATTTAGAAATATTTATTTAAAATTTTTTTTAGTTATTTATATTTTTAATTTTTTAAATTATTATGTCAATCTTAATTATCTTTATTGATGTCGATTGGAAATACGATTAGAAGCTTCAAAATACCTTATAGCTGTTTGCTAATTTAAATTAAGCAAGCTGCTACATTTTTTTTATAAAACTGGGACAATATTTTATCTTAACCATATGTAATTATTTTTCGATTTTTATACGTCTTGATTTTTCCTCGCTAATTGGAAATTATTTCTCGTACAGTTATTTTCTTTGATCTGAAAAAGTACATTCTTAGTACAATTTTCAGAGCAGTTCTGTGCTTCCGAATTGTGTCTTTAATCGTACGCCCTCAATCTCAAATTTGGCGAAATTGTAATTATAAAACATAATAAACTTAAATTATATTAAAATACAAGATTCAAAAGTAGTATATTAGGTACGATAAATTTTATAACTAGAATAAGAAAAAATATACATATACGCGCACGGTTAAAAAATGGACTTTAATTGTAAAGTAAGAATTAAAATTCTAGGCAAAATGAGAAGTAAAAACGCATCTCTGAGTAAATAGAATGCATCGCCGCGTCTCGGGTTAATCGGGTGTTACGAGTGTTGCATTCGTTATTCCGGTAGATATGGTTAGTGCAGCAAAGAATTGGAGTCGCGATTGACATTTGACTAGCACGGTCGCGAGAAGAATAATGAGAATCGTGATTCCGCGACTCTTTTTGCGACGACGCGTTGCGTCGCGATGCTTTTATTTCATTCTAACCGGGCTTTTGCACGTGACGTTCTAAAACCCCTTAAAACGCACGCGACACTTTAATCGAATCACACAGAGCGGTGTGCCGCAGAGGACTGGCGGCATACGCTACGTGCAGCGATTGCCGCAACGGCTGCATGGGCGCGGCGACCGAATGGCGTTTTTGAACGTATGAAAGAACAGTTTGCGGCGCTCGTGGTTCAATTTGTTCTTTACCGCGCACTTTTGATTATTGCGACGTTTGCATATTTTTCACAGTAAGGAGAAGTAGGTAAAACAAGGGATGTGTTATTTTTCAAACATTAGTTACGTATATCGGCGATACGAATCCTTATTATATATTTTTTGAGATGATATATTGTGATAATTCTTTTGTGCAATTGTCACTTGCTTTATAAAATTATAAAAAGAATTTTTAAAAACTTATTGATAAGAATTTAAATATTATGGAAAACTGTGCTTGCATGAGTTGAATTTAAAGTTTATAAAATTATCTTTTTGAAAAAATCAAGATATTTTATTAAAAGAATGTCTGATAAGCGATAGTTTTCTACTGCAGAAAAATGTAGCATAAAAGAGAATATCTCTATTTTCGTTTCATTGCGTCTATAAAATATCACGATGTAACGAATACAAGGATTTATTACTCTTGTGCAAAAATTTGTTGGATGAAAAACTGCGCGAGAGCATAACACGATTTTTCTCATTCATCTTTGCGCTTTGATGCGCCGACTACATTTACGATACTTAAAGTCATCTTAAAAGATACTTGACGCTTCAATGGAATCACGGTGAATACCGTCTAGTAGGATGCTTCACATGATTGCAGTACGTGGACCGGCTGGCGTGCAGCCGGATAATTTCTAGATGGATCGATATAACGTTAACTTTTTCTCCTATAATTCTTTGCTTTCAATTAAAGAAAATTTAGTAAAAATGGTACATAAAAAAGTTATGTATTAAAATTATTTTTAACATTTTAAATAATAAGAATGATTAATACTTTCTAATAAAATAAAAATCAGAGATGTAATTGAAAGAAATTTTAAGTTAAAGGTAAAAATAGGAAAATAGAAATGCAATTTCAATTAAAAAGTGGAATATATCGAGTTTTTGTTAAATACAAATTTTCAGGTTTGTAATTTGTTGTTATATTAGTAATATTAGTTATAATATTAGTTATACATATTAGTTATATTAGTAAATTTCAAGTTGTGACTGTTTTAATCTATATTATTTATTGAATATTTTCAATTTATAAAATATTGATACTAATAACATAAATATGTATAAATTTGAAAAATCTTACGCTTTTATTTTTGTGTGTGTAATCTTGTATCCAAGTTAATGAATTTTTGCGAGCGTTCTTTTATATTTGTCAGAAGCTTTTATACTTTCGCCGGCGAAAACATCTTAAAAATACACGTGCGATGTAGCGTGTTCGCCGAGCTTTATTGGAAGTATATATATAAAAAATTTTATGAATAATTGTATAATATCTTGTTTAAGTGGAAAAGTTGTGCTATCACATAGTTGCTAAACGTGGCGGTGAAAAATTTCAGCGTCAGGTTTTACACTTCTCGCCGCTGTATAGATATATTTACCGTTAATTCATCCTGATAAAATTATAGATAACACTTAACGCCGTGCTTTTCGACCACTTTGTATTGCAGTAACAAAATTCTCTGTGCATATCGCCGCACGAAACCTTTCGTGACTGGGATAAGAATAAAGTGGATAAAAACAGTCGTAACTTCTCGCTTTATTCGTGGTTAGATTTAAATTTTTTGGAGCATGAGGTTCACTCCGCGTTGCGGAAATATCTTGAAACATATATGATAT